GTTTGAACTCATCCCAGTTGCGTATCTTTAACTTTTCAGCTGCCCACCAACTCCTCGCAGGACCTGTTAGCACTGCATTGATTGTGACAAGCATATCCACATCTGTGAGAGGTCTGAATGACAGGAAGTTTTCACACTTTTCAATGAACTCCAAAACATCACAGGTTTCACGGTTTTGTCCGAAGGTAGGGAACTCTAGGTTGAAAGGAGGTTTGGGTGCCAACGAAGAAGGAATTGCAGAGGGAAGATATCCTGGATCAGAAAAGCTATGGCTAAAAGGACGGGGCGATAATGGGGTACTGGTTGTCTTTACTCGTGACATTTCCTTTTCCAGTGCTCATCACGCCACTTAAGACAATTCACCATCTCTGTCTCTAAATGGGTCAAAGATCTATTCATTCCCCTTTCTAATGCATCGAAACGTTGATCAATGACATCCCTGAAACAGGCCTCCCTGTTAACAATGCTGTTGTTGCTGGCCATGAAATCATTTTTGAGCATTTGCACCTCTGTCTGCAGAGCCTGGAGGATTAAAGAGAGTTTAGTTATTTGAGTTTCAAGTTGTTCAAACATTTCTCCCCTAGGTTTCAGCATTGGGGGATCATCCTCTTCACTTCCTCCAGCCTGGCTACCAATATACATATCACTCATCATGGAACTTAATTCTATTACCGGCAATGGTTCTCTGTATGAAACACCAGGGGGTGGTTGATAAGGACGGGCCTCTGGACACTCATCCCCCTCACTTGCCACTGCCTGCTCACAAACCTTATCTGATGGGTTATCCATGATTTACAGAGATACTTTTGCAAAAATATAAAAGGTACAATATCAATCTTTAAACAGTATCTCACAATAATTCAATCCCCATACGGGCCACCATCTATAACAACCCCAACTCTTTACAAAAGGGTTGAATCGTTATCACAAGTGGTTTTGACTATTGTTTCCTTTTACTCGTTTGCCAAAAATGTAAAACACAGAAACAGCATGATTACAAACACATCAAAGTCCCCAAACAACACTGTATTGAAAATATGAGGCAAATTAGACACTTGTTAGACAAATGCAAAGATAACCCAATCTGTTGACTCTTTTATAAACCCAAATGAAATAGTCATATAGCGAAAGTTCATGAGTAGGCTTGTTGCCCACAGCCCAACAGTCCTTTCAAGCAAAAAAATTATAATAAAGATGATACTCAACAGTCCTTTTCTGCTTTGGGGGTAGAGAGGAAATTTAAAGTCCTGATGAAAAACACAATGTCCCCAAAAAGAGAAAAATATAAGTCCACTGGTTCAAGGCCCCACAAAAAACAGGTTATCCTCCAGCTGTAAAAAGTCCCCAGAGTATAGTCCAAAAACGTATATCCCCGACCAGAGCGTGCCCTATGAAATGGTTTCAAAGTCTGATATACAATGTCTCTATTCCCAGAGATCACTTTGGACAATTACACAGAGCTAGTTTAGCCAAAAAAACAAGCCACCTCACCAAACACAAAAAGCTTCCTTTTAAAATGGCCGCCTTTTCCTCTTATCCATAGACCCACCATAATAAGAGTCCTTAGAGGCCAACAAAAGTCCCCCTCAAACAAAATGCATGTGCAAATGCTCAAAATCGACATACATTCAGAAGAAAAACTAAACTATAAATATATAGGCATGGCACATATACATAAACAATTACTTTTTTTGTAACTTAAGTGAGCGTCGTGCAGGGCTTTACTGTGGCATTGTCACAGCACTATATCTGTATTTTATGCAAAATGTCTGTCTTATGCAAATTGATTGATGACACTATTGACTACATAGCATGTGTGAGAGTCAAATATGATCTTACCTCAGTTTCTCCAGTTTACAGTGAGGATCCTGTAGCACATCAGAAAGCAGCTTCACTGAATCTCCTAGTTTATTCTCAGACAGATTCAGTTCTCTCAGGTGTGAGGGGTTTGATCTCAGAGCTGAAGCCAGAGCAGCACAACCTTCATCTGTGACGCCACAATCTCTCAACCTGTAGAGAACAATGACACACTCTTCACTCTC